CATATCATTCTCAGTGCGGAAAAGCTGAGAGCTTTCCCCCTAAGGTCAGGAACGCGACAGTGATGTCCACTCTCACCACTGCTATTCAACATAGTATTAGAAGTCCTAGCCACTGCAATCAGACAACAAAAGGAAATCAAAGGCATCCAAATCAGCAAAGAAGAAGTCAAATTCTCACTCTTTGCAGATGATATGATACTGTATGTGGAAAACCCAAAAGACTCCACCCCAAAACTGCTAGAACTCATACAGGAATTCAGTAAAATGGAAGGATATAAAATCAATGCACAGAAATCAGTGGCATTCCTATACACCAGCAAGACAGAAGAAAGAGAAATGAAGGAGTCGATCCCATTTACAATTGCCCCCAAAACCATTGGATACCTAGGAATAAATCTAACCAAAGAGGCAAAGGATCTGTACTCAGAAAACCATAAAATACTCATGAAAGAAATTGAAGAAGACACAAAGAAATGGAAAAACGTTCCATGTCATGGATTGGAAGAACAAACATTGTGAAGATGTCAATGCTACCTAGAGCAATCTACACATTCAATGCAATCCCCATCAAAATACCATCCACTTTTTTCAAAGAAATGGAACAAATAATCCTAAAATTTGTATGGAACCAGAAGAGACCCCGAATAGCCAGAGGAATCTTGAAAAAGAAAAGCAAACCTGGCGGCATCACAATTCCGGACTTCCAGCTCTATTACAAACCCGTCATCATCAAGACAGTATGGTATTGGCACAAAAACAGACACATAGATCAATGGAACAGAATCGAGAGCCCAGAAATGGACCCTCAACTCTATGGTCAGCTAATCTTCAACAAAGAAGGAAAGAATGTCCAATGGCAAAAAGACAGTCTCTTCAACAAATGGTGTTGGGAAAATTGGACAGCCACATGCAGAAGAATGAAACTGGACCATTTCCTTACACCACACACAAAAATAGACTCTAAATGGTTGAAAGACCTAAACGTGAGACAGGAGTCCATCAAAATCCTAAAGGAGAACACAGGCAGCAACCTCTTCGACCTCAGCCGCAGCAACTTCTTCCTAGTAACATCGCCAAAGGCAGGGGAAGAAAGGGCAAAAATGAACTATTGGGACTTCATCAAGTTAAAAAGCTTTTGCACAGCAAAAGAAACAGTCAACAAAACCAAAAGACAACCGACAGAATGGGAGAAGATATTTGCAAATGACATATCAGATGAAGGACTAGTACCCAAAATCTATAAAGAAGTTCTTAAACTCAACACCCAAAGAACAAATGATCCAATCAAGAAATGGGCAGAAGAAATAAAGAGACATTTTTCCAAAGAAGACATCCAAATGGCCAACAGACACATGAAAAAGTGCTCAACATCACTCAGCATCAGGGAAATCCAAATCAAAACCTCAATGAGATACCACCTCACACCAGTCAGAATGGCTAAAATTAACAAGTCAGGAAATTACAGATGTTGGCGGGGATGCGGAGAAAGGGGAACCCTCCTACACTGTTGGTGGGAATGCAAGCTGGTGCAGCCACTCTGGAAGGAGGTTTCTTAAAAAGTTGAAAATAGAGCTACCATACAATCCAGCAATTGCACTACTGGGTATTTACCCCAAAGATACAAATGTAGGGATCTGAAGGGGTACGTGCACCCCAATGTTTATAGCAGTAATGTCCACAATAGCCAAACTGTGGAAAGACCCAAGATGTTCATCGACAGATGAATGGATAAAAGAGTGGTATATATATACAATGGAATATTATGCAGCCATCAAAAGGAACAAAATCTTGCCATTTGCAACGACATGGATAGAACTGGAGGGTACTATGATGAGCGAAATAATTCAGTCAGAGAAAGACATGTATCATATGACCTCACTGATATGAGGAATTCTTAATCTCAGGAAACAAACTGAGGGTTGCTGGAGTGGTGGGGGGTGGGAGGGATGGGGTGGCTGGGTGATAGACATTGGGGAGGGTATGTGCTATGGTGAGTGCTGTGAATTGTGTAAGACTGTTGAATCACAGACTTGTACCTCTGAAACAAATAATACATTATATGTTAAAAAAATTAAAAAAGAAGAAGATAGCAGGAGTGGAAGAATGAAGGGGGGAAATCGGAGGGGAGATAAACCATGAGAGACTATGGACTCTGAGAAACAAACTGAGGGTTCTAGAGGGGAGGGGGTGTGGGGATGGGTTAGCCTGGTGATAGATATTAAAGAGGGCACGTTGTGCAAAAGAAAAAAGAAAGAAAGAAAGAAAGAAAGAAAGAAGAAAGAAAGAAAGAAAGAAAGAAAGAAAGAAAGAAAGAAAGAAAG